TTGTGTTAAGTCTCACACCTACCCACCTCTGGGGACCTGGTCATCACCCCCCCCTATCCTGGACTTTATCACTTAGCATTTCACAAACTCAGTTCTGTGTCTCTCACCACTCAGGAGTGTAAAGCCTTCACACAGCTCTTCACCGCCTGTCTGCTTTGACAGTTGAGCTGGTGTAGATCTACTCCCGGGAAGGCCAGAGCCTCCCCCAGCTCGATGCCTGGACACTGAGCCCAGAGGCTCCTATGTGGTTTCAGGCATCCTCATGCCTGCTAATCTAACCAATGGGAATAAAGCTATCACCAAGTTATCTGTTCTTGAGAAAACAGAGCAAAAGATAACTTCTGTTGTCCACGGCGTCAAACCTGAACTGTGAACTCAGGCCAGAGAGGAGGCTGGTTTTGTTCTGATGTTGAGCGCAGAAGCCACAGAACCCAGGCTCCCTGTGACCAAGGAAAACACTAGAAATTGTTTAAGTCCATGAAAGATGGCAGATGGCTGAAAATCAGGCATCTGGAGCATGTGGAAAGGGTACCGTGGCATCATGTTTGGGGAAGAGGGGATGGAGGGCATAGACTCGCCTGTGAAGAAAGGAGTTAGCGGCAGCTTTGTTCTCACCGTCAGTGAGTGTGCTGCTTCCAACCTCATTGCGAGTCAAGTGAAGTCACTTACATTCTCTCTCCTGTTTCCTGTCACCAACTGTTGCCGTGCGTGACACAGCATGTGCCTTTTCTGTGGTAGGCAATGCTTCTTCAATGACATCAAATTCTGTGTAGTGACACACTGTCATCTTTACAGTCAATACCCTGACACAGGTCATTGTCTGGCGAGTTTAAATCCCAGGGAAGTTGCCATGATGATGGCTGTGGGCTTTGCTGGTCTATCTCAGTTTCTTTCCAGCCCATCCTGCCTTGACTAGAAGCCTGCTGGGCATGTTACTGTGTCAGGACTCTCAGGAACAGGAACATCAAGGCTTGTGTGTAGAAAGAGGGGTTGGCTTAGACAAAAATTTATTAAGCAAGCCTTAAATCCATAGGGTGGGCTGGCAGACCTGAGACCCTGACACTATGCTCCTCAAGACTTCACAGCAAGCACTCACCCCTCTGAGCCATCTCCTCAGCCCCGATCCTGTCTTAGGAATTACCCTTTTCTTGGTTCTAACTGTTCTCTTCTATAACACTTCCTAAACACATGTTAGACCTCTGGATCTTTACTCCACTCCTCTGAACTTTCATTACTAGTTACTTAATGCACTTCTGAACAATAAAAATCAGTTTCACAAAATAGACACAATCAAATAGCCCAAGATAGCAAGACCTTGTGTGACTGTGGGCTTCCGTGAAGTCTTGGGCCCAGACACCTGGCCTTCTTGCCCTTCAGCTTTGCCAGAGTCTTTTATATTGCAACTTCGTGCATACCACCAGGGAACACGATCCCCTGGACTCTTCTAGGGGCAAAATCCTTCATGCAGAGGCGGGAGGCGACTATGTTGGTGGCTAGGATTCTCTCTCTGCCCCCTTCACCCTGTGATATACTTTCTTACCTACTTGCCTGAGGTTCCTATGACTAAGGGCTGCTTCTGTCTTTGGTGTCTTTCCTACGGTATCTAGAGGAGGGCACATGTGTAGGTCATTTACAAATTTGGATCTGTGTTGGGCATTTTCACACACAGCAAAGATCAATGTTTCACATGCAGAAGTGGCCAGTGTTTTACACACGGTGATCAGTGTTTCACACACAGTGGTGATCACAAGATCCTAGCCCTCTACGGTCATCAACTTCATTTCAGATATGAAAAATCTGGGATAAAGCAGAGTCACTCCAGAGTCTTGCTTCAGCCTGCTGGGCCACAGTCCGTATTGCTACCCATGGTGGATAAATAAGTCAATCCCTGAAGCAGCACCTTGCCAGTGATGGTGGGTTGTTACAGGGAGTGGAACTCCAGTTGCCCCTAGGAATCTGTGGGAGCTCTGGGTACCAAAGTCAGAGAATGCTCAAGTCCCTTATATGAAGAATACGATATCTGCATACAAGCTGTACAACCATCCCATATACTGTAAGACATCTCCAGATTGTTTTTAGTACCAGATATAAGTGTTTGTAATGTAAATAAGTATTCCTTATTGTTTAGGGAATAACTTAAAGAAATCTGCATATATTCAATACAAGTACAACTTATTTTTCTGAAATTGTCCAAATTGTAATTATTTGAACCCATAAATGTAGACGTGTAAGTGTGGAAAACCAATTGAACACCTAGACAAGATACGGTTGGCGGCACAGACAGAACAGGACGGGTGTGAGTAGCCACTGTGTAAGATGGCTGTCTCTCTTTTAGTGTTCTCTCTTACCTTTTGTGCCTGAGGCCCATTACTTCTCTGAAGCTATTTGCACTAGTCAAATTTCCTGTCTGTCTAATAAAGACCCGAGATGAACCAACACATGATGAGAAATGGGCCATTCTGACCTATACTTAGAAAACGAAGGTTTATGTTAGTTCTGTCTGTTGGCCCCTTTTCTGTGGGCCTTTGGCCGCTCGTCCAACTACCTACCTCATGACCAGAGTGAAAAAGAAGAAAGAGAAAGAGGAGGATCTAGGGTCCCCTTGTCCCCTTCAAGCACACCCCGACATGGATTGGAGGACTTCTTTCTAGGCTCTAACTCTTAAAGATCCCATCAAGCCGGTGAGCACACATTTTAATACGAGGGCCTTTGGAGGAGAGTGAGTTGCACATACTCACTCATGGAGTAGACTCAGTTTAACCTGATAGGAGGCACAGGAGCAGGTGACAGGCCTTGGCTTTCAAAAGCTAATGGAGGTAAGAAGGGCATGGTGTACCATGCAGAGGAGGGACGTCCTGGGGGAGCCCATGGGGCATCTCCCCTTGGGAAGAGCTTGCCAGCCACAGGCACAGACCTGGTATCTGTAAACACCCATTAGGAAGCACTGGGGTGGCTGTCAGCCGTGGTTTCCTTTTCATTCCTTCCTTGTTGTCCAGCCTCTGTCACATGCTCACAACTTGCTGCCGTCTCTTGATGTAAACATGATACAGGAAAAACAGAAGCCACATTGTAAAGACTGCATTATAAGTGCTTCCCAATGAGTCTCTTTTTGTAGAGACTAATCAGGGGCAGCTCTGGTCCATCTTCCCAGGTGGTGCTAGAGCCTCCACTGCCAACAGAAGACATGAAGAAGCAGTCTTTTCTTGGTGAGAGGATAGCATTCCCTTACTCAGCTGAGGCTCTGAGCCCCTCCTGATGTCTGCTGCTCCCTGAAGCGCATGCTGGCCTTCACTGCTTAAGGAGACCACGCCCTTGCCCATAAGGTGCTCACGTTCTACTTTATCATCTATGTGTTTATTATTTGGGTGCTGGGAATCTATTACCATACACTTGCTAAGCACGACCTTTAGCACTGAGCTAATCCCAGACGTTGATTAGCTTTATTTGAACAATAAAAATCTTTCCTTTTGTTGAATCTATCCAGTTCAAATATAAGTGGGGCTCGCTAACTTTTGTGTAATTTTATCTATTTCAGAAATAATGAAGATCAATGAACACTTAGTTTCTTGCACTCTAGTTTGTTTCCAACTTAGCTTTAAAGAAGTTTATATTAGGGTCACAAAAAGACAAGACATCTCAGAAGATAAAGGTGCCTACTGCCAAGCTGGATGGCTGAGTTGGATTCCCAGAACTCACCCACACTGTGGAAATTGTCCTTTCAAACTTCTTAGTCTCACTTTTTTGAATTTGGAGATTTGGTAGAAGTTGACCCAAATTGATGGTAAGTAATAGTTCATGTTGACTAAGCCACCTGAGTGTCAGTAGGCTAAGAGCTTTATATGCACAATGTTACTTTGTTGACCCAAAGTTAGTACAGACATCATAACTCTCAGCCCATTGTACAGATGAGGAAAGTGAGGAAAGCCGCTGTTGATTTGTCAAAGCAGCATTTGATTGCAGAGCCCGCATACCACAACACCGTCATGTGCTCCTTAGGCCGGCAACGACAAAGGGGGGTGGGGAGAGATGGGGGGGGCAGGAGGAGAGAGCGTTGGCTGAAACTCAGGACGATGAGCACTTGGACTTAAGATACACTGAGCAGCGAGTCTGGGCTGATGATGCCTTGGTGACAATCCTGTGCTCTGCTTTCACAGCCTGGGGGTGTGTGTACCTCTTACTTGTCATCTGATAGTAATACACTTCTGAAAAAGCCCACTTTTGAAGGTTGATTAATTAGTATGACAAGTCCGAGGTTGTGACAAACGACCCAAGAGGAAAGGAATCAGTTCTCAGGCTGTGCTCTGAGCAGCCCAGGAGCCCCCTCAGACTTGCCCTCAACAGCCACTTCTTCTCCGTGTTTACGTCGTGGCTCTGCTGGTCTCAGCAATCCCATCTGCCTCCTTCATCTCCCCCAGTCTGCCCCGCCCCTCTCCCCATCCCACTGGACCTTCTCAGGGATCTCTAAGCATAATCCAAAATAAAAATCCACACAGGCTTTTAACCCTAATTCTTAGGCCCAACCTCTACAGAATTCTAGCAAAAAAACCCTATGGGAAATGTGTGGTTCTCTTTGTCCAAATGCAGCCAGCTCATGCTGACTCCCAAGCATCAGTTTAAAATGCCAGGACTCAGCTGCAGACCTTTCCTGGCTAAGTAGTGTCTAGCCCAAGCCAGGGGCTGCTGACCCAGGGAGTAGGACTGTCTTCCTCTTTTTCTCTCCTTCCCATTCTCCTCCAACCTATCCATCCTCACCATCATTGCTGCCTTATTCCACCCCCAACTACATTATCCTTCTGCTTGGACTGGGGCAAAGATACAGAGGGATACTGACTCATTTGGAAATCAACCTGACATTTCCATCTCTGCCTGCGTAACTTGTCTATGTGCAGCCTTTGATGATGCAAGAGCATCTACAGCATCACCTACAATGCCCACACATCTCCTAGAATTGCCTGTGTGTACTTTTAATACACAGCAGAAATCATATACATATGCATGCATTCATTTTTATGCCTTGGATTTATTTAGGAATTAAATGTCAATATCTTCAACTTCCAAGTAGATTGATACATCTACCGATAATTTTTAATTGCTTACTTCTCTCACCTTCCCTTCTCCTCCTTCGGGTACTGAGTCCTATGGGTTCCACACCACAGCTAGACTGAGAGTCCCTTGTCCCTGATCTTTAAGCATGGTGTTCTTCCTGCTGTGGGGAGCGCACTATGTGTTCTTTGGGGTCTCCATGGTCTCCTAGGCCAGCAAAGTAAGGTTTACCTCACACACGGCCTCTGCTACAGTGTTCCCAAATGGGAGGGGGATAGGAATGGCCCTATCCCCAAGACACTGTGACTCACTGTGGTTGTCCCAACATCTCCAAGGGCGACTGCCCTCCCTGGAAGTTGCTCCTGAGAAGGGGCACTGTCAGAAGGTATTGTCCTCTAGAGTCGCATCTCTGGGTGCTGCTCTGAAGAAGGGCCTTGAAGTTTCTTATTAAAACCAGAAGAACTTGAATTGAGGTTTGGGAAGAGAGCCAAGGAGGTATCATTGTCAATGACCCCCCATCCATGACATTAGTCCTTTGTCATCTGGGGAGAGGAGGCTGGTCAGCCAAGGACAGTGCAGTGGCATTCCAGTCAAGAATGGACTGCACATATGGCGGCCTTCAGTGAGACTGCATCATCTAGTGACCTTACAGCCGTCTTAATTTGCCTTACGTAAAGCACGCTGTGTGGTGCCCACCCAAGGTTGGAAGCATGGAGTGAGGCCTTCCTCGGAGTTTCCCCACCATCAAGCGTCACATGACTGTGCTTCTCTCTGCTAAACTTCGTGCGGGGCGAGGAGAAAAAACACACACATGTCTGGAAACTGCGTCATGAGGTGCAGTCATGGGGAGGACGTAAAACAAGGACTGAGAATCCACAGCCATTCACCTTCGCTCACGAGCGGTTCTGCCGTTCACAAACCAGACGCTGTAATTAAAATGCTGCTAAAAGAAGCAAATCAATTACCAGCTCCAGTACACGATGATTTATTCTATCTCACACACAGAAGATTGCTTATGAGTATCATGTAACTGCTTTAGGTGATCAGTTAGCAAAAGCTGCTAATGAGTAGCACTGTTATCAAGTCAGACAAAAGACACCCTGGGACTCCAGACGTTATTATAACGCAGTACTTTGTTCTGGAAAAAAAAAAGCTCCTCTTTCATCACAACACGATGAAGATGACCCTGTCTGAGCAGTCCCAGTCCACACGGCCACCTGTCTTCTGGAAGAATGGAAAAGCAGGGTCCTCCAAGACAGAAATGATTCGAGGGAGGGACTGCTCGCAGAGCCTGTGTCCCGAACCATGTATTTATGACAAGAACACAGGACGTGGTTTTTCCAAGGCCTTTCATGCAAGCACTGTGTATACTGCTACAATAGTCACAGAACCTTATACGGGGCTAACAGTGCCAGCCTGCATTCTTGTAACTCTCTGTGGGGCACTGTCCCAGCTCGCTCTTGACTCTTGCTACAGCTCCAAGGCCCTTCCCAGGGCTGTCGACGCCCTTCCTCTGGCCCTGGCCTGGACTGCCCTCTCCTCCCTTACCAGGTCAGTGTTCCGTTGATGGCACAGGACACTGGCCCATCAGCTCCATGCTCCTCGGGATGCTTCCATGGCTCGTCTTTAAAGTGGGAATTTCCTGGCAGCTAAGACTTCGAGGCCTGAGTCTAGGTGGTTAAAGCGTGTGGTGTCAAGGAAGCTGTCCTGTCTTTGTTCACATTTCCACGAGCTGTGTCGGGGTGGAGTTCCACTGATGTGGACACAGTGCTATTGTAGAAACTTGCATAGCTCTGACATGGGCATGTAGGCTGGGAAATATGGCTTTGGGGTTTCTTTTTTTCCTGCTTCTGAGTCATGTACTCCCCCTTGTGCAGACACGCTTCCAGAATGGGAGTGACATCTCCCCTCGGGACTGAGGTGCTGCCCATTGTAGTCCTTTTAGTACCTGATGCTATGCTGAGGAGTTGTGATGATCCATCACCTAAAACAGACCCAAAACCCATGAGCCCTCTGCGGATGTAGCTGGCCGCTTACAGCTCCATAGCCTGGGCATCTCTAGAAAGGAAAAGAAACGTTAGAAGCTGTTAGAGTGATTGTGTCCGTATGGTTGGCTTGGTGTGTTGGCAGCACAGTGAGCATGTGTGAGCATGTGTGAGGAGCTCACCAGCAGATGTCAGGACCAAGAGGCCTCTCTTCAAAGGGCACAGAAAGATGCCTGCAGCCAGTGCTGGAGCCACGCGTCAGCCGAGGGGTGGTTTCTGCCTGCTGAACCCAAGGCCACATAATTTCACCCACATAATACAGCAGTGCCAGGCACTTATTCCTCAAGGTTAATCAGAAAGTGCTGGGGACTCATTCCTTGGGGTTAATCAGACTATTTGGGGAAAGTGTCACTGTCTTTGTATGAAGAACATGTTCAGATCTGGTCTGAGGCTAAGAGGAACAAGGTAGGGAGATTATGGGAATGTAATGAAAGATGATTCCTTCGGCTTTAAGTCACAAATTGTTAGCTTCTGTACCAAATGAGACAGGAGGGAAGGTACTGCCCACAAATTTTTTCAAAAGAGGAAAACAGAAGACAGATGAAGTCACCAAATGAGGCCCTGACACAAACACCTGGAGCTTGAGGTTGGGGTACAAAGCTCTGGGCTATAGGACATCTTCATGGAGATTGCCAACATCTCCTTGAAGGAGATGGGAATACACACTGACTCCATAGTTTTTCATAAGCTTTACCTATGGTGACAACGGAATGCCACATTCATGCTTCACTGGCTGCTCCCTAATTGGAAATGCTATTCACTGGGTCTGACACCTCAGTGTGGGGGTAGGAGGAGCCATGGCAGGAAGACAGAAGAATGGAGCATGCATGGGACAAGTCAAGTCAATGTCCATCAGAGGCAGCACATCGTCACCTAGCCTGAGTCCAAGGGCTGAGGACACACATGAGGCTCAAGCGTGTGGAACCTAATGGCCGGTGAGCCAACAGTGATGACGAGCAAGCCAGAACGGCGTGGTGACGGACAAAAGAGGAATGGGGACGTGTCACTTAGCTTCTTGTCCACTTGACATACACAAGGTCATCTGGGAAGAGGCAACCGCAGATGAGAGCATGCCTCCATCCTGTGGGGCATTTTCTTGATGTGGGAGGTGCTGCCCCTCTGCAGGTGGTTGTGGGATGAACCTGGAGGGCAAGCCAGCCTTCCTCTGTTCTTGGCTCAGCTTTGGGTCCCTGCCTCCAGGCTCCTGCCCCAGTCCCCACCCAGCATCCCTCTGTGATGTGCAGCGAGCTGTAAGATGAAACGAACCCTTTCCTCCCCTTTTAGTCATGACCTTAACCACAGCAATAGACAACTACCGAGGACAGGGTGGGGTGTGTCTGTTCAAAGTACACTATATGCATTCCCGGAAATGTCAGGAAGAAACCCATTACTTTGTAAAATTAATACATGTTGATAAAAACACTAGGAAAAAAAAAAAGACAGATCCGTGAAGGAAAGAGAAGATAATTGGAGAAGAAAATCTAAGAGAAGGCACCCAATGTTGTCAAATGCTAGTGTGTCTCCCTCAAAAGGATAACGGTGCAAAAGAGCACGGAGTGTATGAGGGCTGGTCTAGACAGGCCGAGGCTGGCCAGAGGTCATTCCTTCTGTTGATCTTAACCAGCCCAAGTTAAAAAGCCATTCAGGGTAGAGGAGAGGATGTTAAGTGTCCGGGCACTCAGCATGAGTGCTTGAGATACTGACAGATGGCCCAAGCAGACAAGGAGGACAGCCTCCTTGCCACAGCAGCCCTGAGCTAGGGAAGTACCTCTGGGCCAAGTCATTCTCTCATAGGAGTCATGGCTCTATGGATGTGTGGATGTCAACAGCCTCCTGGGAGCCAGACACAACCTGGAGTACCAGGCTAGCTAGGCAGAAGAGGGGACAACAGAAGCTGGCTGGGCGAGTGGCAGAGTTAGACTGCCCAGACATGTGTTGGCATGAAGAGAGGGAACAAAAAAAATTGGACATAATACAATTAGAGTGACTGTTAAGCTAAAATATTTTACCATGTTCTCCAAAAAAAAAATCACATGCAGGTCAATAAGAAAAGGAAAACCAAGTAGATAATAAAATCAATATGTGCTTCTACATCTGGTAAGCCAGAGAGAACCTTGGAACATTTATTATTGAGTTTTGAAAATAGGCATGGGCCTTGGATTTTGTCAGAAACGTCTAACTGATGAGGAAGTAGCCCACTAAATGCCTTGGGTAAAGTCCTTCCCTTACAACCCACTCTAAACCCAACTTGCTGAGTGGGTTTCCCACCTAGATCAGGCACAGGGCAGATAGTACTCCTGTCACATAACAGTGGCAATTTAAGCCGTATCAGTGAAGAGAACAGTTAGTGTCATAAGAACTGAGAAAGAAGGAATGCGTTTGGGCAGATGTGGGGGGTGCCATGAAAACTCAAAGGGGCCAAAGAAAAAACAAGCCAAATGACACAAGTACTCATGAGGACAGCCAGTGTAATATGTACTCAAATAACACAAGTACTCATGAGGACAGCCAGTGTAATATGTACTCAATGGCCAGGCCAGAGAAGTAATGGGAAAGACCATAAACACACAAGATATTCAAAATACTTAGGATTAAATTTACAATAAAAGGTAAGAAACTTAGAGTAAAACCTAAGAACTTTCACTGACGCACATGAGAACAGGCATGTTAAGTGTCTTCATAACAAAACCATGGTATACATTCACAAGGAATGTAGCTGTAAAGAAGAGAGAGAGCCTGAGGTATGTAGAAATGGATAGAGTGTTTAGTGAATTGGGCTAGACACAGCAAGCTATCACATGCTCTGAATGCAGGTGGATGTTAAGGAAAAGTTAGCCTGAACATAAACTACTGAGCACTAGAGGTTGGGATAAAACGAGGCTGGATTTGAATGCTAGATGTATGTACTGAGACAGCATACTAAACCCTACTAATATGTGTGATTAACACATTTGCTAATCAAAAATAAAATAGATTTTCTCCCATGGATTTCTGGTTAATGTCACAATGAAATTAATCAGCTCCAATCTAATGTGTAAAAATAATATATCCCCAATGAAATACCAAGACATTCTGAAATTGACTGGAAAGTCGTGCCTAAAGCTACCAGAACTAAACTAGCAACCATTTCCCTGAGGAGCAAGAGCAGTGTGGGTTTGCTGGGGTGGGAGGATCCAGCCTACCAGATGGCAAAGCACACCAGGAATCCCCACCAGCCACAGTGTGGTACCTGCCCATTACCGACCACAGGTGGCCAGGTCCAGAAAAACCCACACATGTGTAGGAACCGAGAGCAAGTCGGAGAATGGGAAGAGAGGTAGGGGCCAGCACCACCATTTGCCTTCTGGTTTGCTTTTCTTTACGATTTGTTTATTTTGTGGGTGGGTATGTATAGAGCGTATACACACACATGTGTGTGTGCACCTTTGGAGGTCAGAAAAGTGCATGAGATCACCTTGGAGCTCGTTACAGAGTTCCAGGCAGCTGTGAACCACTGGACATGAGCACAGGAGCCTGAATTCAGGTTCCCTGGAAGGGCAGCAGGCACCTAGCTGCTACACCGTCTGTCCATCACCATTCGTTTCTGAGACAGGGACTCGCTCTCTAGTTCAGGCTGGGCTCTAACTGGCAACCCTCCAGCACTGGGGTTACAGGCATGCACCACTACACTTTACCAATGTTTTTAATGAGGTTGCATTTGTGTAAAAGACCAAATTGTATCAATAGCTCACCTCACACACCAGAATGTGTGCCAGCAATTCGAACAAAAAAAATCCTTAAATACCACAAGAATGTATCTGAATAGATATAAAATATATCATTATATATAAATATCATAAACTATCATGAATACACATAAAATTAAAACTGATCATTTTTGTGAAAGGGCAGGGGTTTAGTCAGCCGGGAGCCACTGAGATGATGACCTCAAAGCAGAGACATGTCCGTAGTTTGGAAAGAATTCTCTCTGTTTATGTTTGAACGGTCTCATCTTTGGCTTTTTTGTCCCTGTTTTACACGTTCAAAAATGGAATTAAAGATTTTTTAAATATCAAACTGCCCTAGGCCCTAAGACCAGTATCTCTAATTTTGTATCAACTTGGTAGAACTAACCACACAGAAAGCATTATCATTTAAGTTGAACACATGGCTCTAGCTGTATACACATAAGAAACAAAACTCCACAGACAAAAAGCATTGCAAATATGTCTTCGTGCTCGCTGGGCAGGCTGTGTCAGGACACCGCTGTGCTTCAGGAAGCACCGTGTGTGGTGAGTGGACTCGAGAACTAAGGTAAAAATCCTGCTATGGCAGAGAAACAGGGTCTCCGTGTGTGGGGGGATGGGGGAGGGAGGCAAGATGGAAACGCAGACGGGGAAGCTTGGCAGGACCTCGGGGGACTGGCTTAGCCTTTTACAAACATGCATTGGAAGGACCCAGGAAAAATGACATGCTCATGGCCAAGAGTGTGACAGTCTGTGCACATATGATTTCTAAAAACCAACTCCCATAAAACCAGAAGGAAACCCAAGGAAAGGGGTGAGGGGTAGCTTTGGATGAGATAGTACAAGAGGAACCTGAGATACTGTGTGTGCGTGTGTGTGTGTGTGTGTGTGTGTGTGTGTGCACGCGCACGCTCGCGTTTACTCTGAAAGGTGCTCCAGACAGGATGTTCTCATAGGGGTCCACTTGTCATCAAGAAATGACTTTCACTTCTCCCTTCTGCTGCCCTTCTTGGCCTGTGACAGTTGGGAGAGCTGTCCCTGCCCCTCATCAGCTGCAGCACTGAGGAGAGTGGCCCCCCTGTACCTCACCCGGGGAACACAGTAGAGCTGGCCCTGGTGGAACAGGCGTGCATAAGCTGACCCTGAGGACCTGAATGCAGGAGGACTTGCCCCGGCCCTTGCTCCTCCTCGCTGCATAGGGTGCAGGGGCAATGCTGGAGAGCTCATCCTGGGGAGAGAGCTGGCTTGCTGACCCACCCTGCAACCACGCAGGTCCAGAACCAGACCTATGAGTTGGCCCATCCCAACGTCCACCCCATCTGTGATCTGATGGAGCACGTGAAGGGGCCAGTCCTACAGATCCAAAGCTGCAGGATCTCCACAGCACAGGGCAAAAAAACGGGAGAGCCAAGAGAAGAACCAGCGAGGGCCCAGAATCAGTAGTGTGGCCTCGAACTAGATTATTGATGACTAAAGGGTATATGATGATGTCTTTTTTTCTTTTCTCTTAAATTTTATGTCACTTTATGGGGGGAGAGGCTGCAAGGGCAGAGGGCGACGGGGAGATGAACAGGATCGAGAAGCATGACGTAAAAGACGCAACGAGTTAATAAACGGTTTTAAGAAAAGAAATGCCTTGCATTTACTCAACTCGGGATGCCTTGAGCAACAAAGAACGATGACAGTGATAGATTAAAAGGCACTGAAGTGTGGCATATCAATAATCAGTAAAAAATAGAAAAAAATGGAAAAAAGAGAACCATAAAAAGTCTATCCCGATCTCCCCGCCCCCAAAGAATGACAGGTGTCAAATGCAAAAGTGGTACCCGGATTGGACACTCAGTATTTTCATTGGCACCAATCACAACAGCTGACTCTGATCTGGCTTATGAATAGGTGAAATCAATGGGTAGAGATTACTAGGGATCAGGCTATGCTCACAAAGCTCTGGTTTTAGCGTATTCGCTATTGACAAAAAGAACAATGTAATCTCTACAGTGCCTAGAGCAAGCCATGGCTTCCCTAGCCAAGCTGCCAAAAGAAGCAAAACCAACAGGGAGCCTGGATTATACCTCCAGGCTCTAGACAGTGCAAGATGGGCAATGCTGCCCAGCCCCGGTGTTCTTGACACCTCCAAAAGAGAAAGAAGAGAGAATGGGACTTTATCCAATTTTTAGCTTAGGCAGTTCAAAATGAACAATGTTGTGGCGAGAAAGAAAAAAAGGAGGTACAGGGAACATAAATATTTTGCTTGCAAGTTTTCAACTTTTCTGTGGATTTCAAGTTCGTTTTTTGTTTTCAAACAGAAAGAGGACAGGGGAGAGATGGGAGATGATTTCAGACCTAGAGTGGCCATCCCAGGCAGCTGTTGAATTACTATTCTGGATACACCCCATGAGCTACTCAGGTGACCAGGGGGCACGAGTCTGGGAATCCTGCTATCGCATGCAGGTAAACCAGAGAAGTAGGTTCAACCAGGACCCCCAAGATCCTGCCTCTCAGCATCTGCTCCCAAAATGCAGGCTTTCCCACTCTCAGAGCCCCCCAAAGCAGTAGAGAAACAAACCGCCAAACACACTGATGTCTGCTGACACAGAAAGGTGTTTTGGATTTTGTTTTTGTTAAATGGACCTAGACTGGCTAACAGATTGGCCACTGTCAAAAGGAAAGTTATAGAAAAACCAGACTCTGCTTCGGTTAAAGCCCAGTCCTCTCAACTCTCATTGCGCAAATGACCACAGCTTTGCTTCTAGTATGACTAATGATCATCCCCAAGAACGCCCCATAGCCCTAAAGGAACGCTATCCAAGCGTGAGGTCTCTAACCAGTGCCAGCATTCCCACCATGGCAAGCAGAAAGAACCGCAGCTGCCCCCAGGACAATGCCAGCCTTCCTTCCTGTTAGGGAAGACACCGAGGACAAGCCTTGGAACAGAGGAGGATGCTGTTAATAGTCTGGTGAGGCCAGGCTGTGTGGGAGCCCTGGATCAGCTGCTGGGGTCTCAACTTGCCTGGGATTCCCCAGACTTCATCTCGTGATAACTTGGAAAACTTGGGCACCTCCCTCTGCTGCAGTCACTCCTGTGTAGGGTGCATTTCAGTCCTCTATGGTGAGGCTAGTTGGGGGGGTGGGGAGGGAGGGAGGGCAAGGGCTGAGGGAGGGGATGGTACACTCCGACTAGTCTGCAGCGACCTTACCTGGGGCTTCTCTTCTTCTGCAAGATGGGGTCTAAACAGAGAAAACAGAGAATTAGCAAGGAGGGCCTGCGACTCTTCTACCTAGGTGGCAGTTGGGGGGGGCAGGGGTGGGGGTTCAAAGCCAGCCTGGTGGAGGAGCTCTAGGGTGGACCACTCATTGGGAAGTGGTTCAGGATGAATCTTAGTGCTGCTGTAACCTCTCTGTCCATGGCCAGTCCCTGAGCCCCTTGCTAGGACACAGGTGTGATTGACTGTTCCCCAAACTGTGCAGGGCCCATATCCCCTCTGGTTGCAGCCTGAGTCTCCCAAAGGGGCTGGACTTCTCAGGACACTGGAGGCCAGGGACTGTGGGGTAAAGGGACAGCTTCCTCCACTCTTATTGGTAGGGAAACAAAATCAAAGCTAAGCCAGCGCTTACGACCAGTGATGCCCATTTCCACCCACGCCACTCCTCCCGTGTTTCTCTACGGGTCATGCTATATTTTCAGAGAAGACAGCATCCTTCCTCCTTGTCCTCAGAACCACCCCACGGAAAGCTGCACCATCATCACCTTCTGGGTCTCAGAGGGTGCTTTGCAGTTATCCCCAGAGAGAGGGCTGGAAATCAGCATTGCATTTTGCTACAGAGCTCACAGAGAAACTGCTCAGATCCTGCAGTGAAGCTCTTCCCTCCTTCCCGAACCAGCGAGGGTTGTGCCACGCCGCTGTTCGAAGACTCGAAAGAGCCTAGCCACACCCAGACCACGTGCAACCACCCTGCCCTGCTCTGGGTTTGACCTGCCCATCAACCAGCTGTGGTCAGAACCAACTCAGGACCCCTGGGATCAGTTTTATCTGATCATGTCCACAGGATGAGAAAACAGAAGTGCCATTTTCTAACTTCAGTTCTTTCTGTTGTGGAGTATTATTCTAAGGTGGGTTACATTTGCTTATGCTCTGGAACATTTGTTTAATGATTCAGAGATGTGTTGCATTCTTCTATGTTCCATTGTCTCACTCTGCGAGGCTGTTATCACTTTGCCTGTCTAAAACTCCTGATTGGTCTAATAAAGAACTGAATGGCCAATAGCTAGGCAGGAGAAAGGATAAGTGGAGCTGGCGGGCAAAGAGAAAAAAAATGGGTGTGTGTGGGAGGTCAGATCAAAAGATCAAGAGAGGAGAAGGAGCAAGAAAAGGAGGAGGACATGAGGGGCAGCCACCCAGATACACAGCCAGCCATGGAGTAGGAAGTAAAGAAAGAGATACAGGAAGGAGGAAGATAAAAGCCCAGAGGCAAAAGATAGATGGAGTAATTTAAGAAAAACTGGCAAGAAAGAAGCCAAGCTAAGGCTGGGCATTTATAAGTAATAATAAGTCTCTGTGTGTGTTTATTTGGAAGCCAGGTGATGGAGCCCCCCCAAAAGTGCAAGGAGTAAAAAACAGCCAACAACATCTTTCCAGAAAGCTTAAATCTCAGACTACTGAAAGTGCCTGAATAGAAAAGTTCACAGTGGCAGAGAGATAGGGAGGGGCACGCAGTGCGGAGACAGATGCAGAGACACTCCTTTTCCTCTCCGAGGGAGCTCCTGGCTGTGGGCCTGTGCTGCAGCTCTCTTCTCTGCCAGTTTCCCCCAGGGCTTCACAGGACACCATCAGGTCTAGAATGTTCTCCAAAGGCCCATGTGTTAAAGGCTTGTTCCCCAGCCCATGAGGCTATTGGGAAGTGGGGCAACCTTTAAAAGGTGGGACCTACTGGGAGATCTTAGGCCTAGGGGCCATGTCCTTGAGGGGAACTGCAGGGTCCCAGTTTCTTCTCTCTGAGAGGAACCAGCTTCCTTCTCCACACACTCATGGCATGGTGTCATCACAAGCCCCAAACCAAGACGACCAGTAGAGCACAGCCCAAAATTCCCAAGCTGTGAGTCCCAAGCCCTTTCCTCTCTTTAAGTTAACTGCCTCTGGCATGTTGTCACAGTAACACCGAAGACCAACAGACAGTCCTTTCTTCTGCAGAGCCGCGCAGGGTGTGTTGTCATGGGTTCCTTACCCTGGGGTGTGTTCTTCAGGTCTGCAGAGTCATTATCAGACAAATGTCTCCGGATCATGCAGATCTTCAGGGCAAGGAAGCCTGCAGATATGGCTATTCCCAAGGCTGTGCCAATGATGGCGTATTTGAAATCTGAAGCACAGGGAAGAATTGAACTCAAGATCCAGTTGCCAGCCTCCAGGGAACTTCCATGGCCCTACATGAAGTCCAGACTCGTGTCCCTGGACCCTTACATCCCAATGGCAACCTACTGAGCTAGCCTTGTTTTCCACTCTCCATTCACAACCCCCTCCCCATCCCCAAAGCTCTATCCCCGGTCTCCCCGGCTCTCGGAACTGTTCCCATCTTCAACAAGTGCCTCAGGACCTGGCCACCTGAGCTCTGCTGGTAGGCAGCTGACTCCTCGAGCTTCCTGCCATCCTACCTCACTTATCCCTTAGCTCATTCACCGCCTTGTCTGTCAAGGGTATGAAAGTCGCTGCCTGTGTGGGAGTCCTGGGGCCGGGGCCTTCTTAGCGGAGGTGATGTGTGGAATGCTCCTTGCTAGGAAAGGCGAGCCTCTGTGTGGGAGGGAGCAGGCACTGTGAGAAATGGGCCGATGAATAGTGAGGGCCGGGGAGAATGGCGGAGCCTGCAGCTGAGGGCCCATAGACACGGCCTAAGGCATTGGGGGAGCTAGGGCTGCTGATCAGAGACAGACAGCACATAGAGGTGGCCTCATGGCTTGTGTCCCCAGGACAACGCTGCTTTGGCCACTAAGTGGACCTGTGGACGAGACGTGCGCTGGCTAGCAGGAATGAACACCGGCATCTACCTGCAGTCTTTGCCCCCGCTACGTACGCAGGACAAGCAGGGAGGTCACCTACCAATCTCAGTCTCAGCAGAGCTGTCCGCTGCCAGCACTTGAGCTCCTCCAACACCTGCGAAGAAAGAATCCCAAGCCTTTTAGGAAACCCACAGCCAGGCCTGGGGGATCACTTAGTGTAAGAGTGATAGCTACATAAACATCAGAACCCAAGTTCAATCCCCAGTACCTACATTTTACAAGGGAGGAGAGGCACGGTCAAGCATGTGCTGTACCCATGGTTTTGTAGGAGGACAGAGACAGGATGGCTGTGGGGCTCACTGGATACCAGCATGGCTCTAGGTTTAGGAAGAAACCCCTGGTGGTTGATGGAAACAAAATGGTACCCAAAAGGAATGGTATCATTAGGTGTGGCCTTGCTGGAGGAAGTGTGTTACTGTGGGGGTGGGCTTTGGGGTCTCCTACTATGCTCAAGCCATGCCCAGTGTCACAGTCCACTTCCTGTTGCCTGAGGATCAAGACGTAGAACTCTCAGCTCCTTCCCCAGCACCACGTCTGCCTACAAGCCACCATGTTCCAGCCATGATGATAATTGGCTGAACCCCTGAAACTGTAAGCCAGCTCCAGCTAAATGTTTTTCCATGTAAGAGCTGCCATGGTCATGGTCTCTTCACAGCAATAGAAACCCTAACGAAGACACCCTGTCTCAAGGAAATAGGCAAAGAGTATAGAGCAGTGTGCCCAGTGTCCTTCTCTGGCCTTCACAAAAATAGTACAGATGCATGCATGCACACCCCCAGCACACACACACACACACACACACACACACACACACACACACACACCACCACCACCACCACCACCACCACCACCACCACACTAAAAATAACAAAAAGAATCCCGACACTGGTAGGAACAGAGGGCAAAGCTCCAGTTGGGAGGTTGTGGGAGGTTGTGGAGGTTGTGGAGGTTGTGGAGGTTGTGGGAGGTTGTGGAGGTTGTGGGAGGTTGTGGAGGTTGTGGGAGGTTGTGGAGGTTGTGGAGGTTGTGGAGGTTGTGGGAGGTTGTTGTCCAAACTTGACTCCCTTCACCTGCTTCCCCTTGACCTCCACCCTCAAGGACTCAGTGGCGTTCTGACTGCCACGGAGTCTTGGGGCCTCGATGAGGTGCTCAAACTTTCCCCAACACTCGAATGAGGAACAAGGTCCTGTTGGGTTCAGCACACTGCTCCTGAGCAGTTTCTAAGACCTCTGTGCTGATCCCAACCTATACCCTGATCACGACCCCTTGTAGTCTCCCCAGGCATCTTCTGCCATTGAACCTCTCCCTCTATCTGGTCCCTCTACTCCCTTCTCTGCTCTTGTTTGGTATTGGCTCTGTTATTTGTTCCCTGGATCCCCACACCTAGTGAGCTGCTCCTTCTGGGACTTCAACAGCCCTGTGCTTCCCCAACCTTACTGACCAAGTCAATACAAACTCAACATTGACATACTGATATTGTGCATTGGGTACCATGCTAGTAGCTTCTCAGTTAGTTATCAGCCCACAGAGTGTGTCTTGGTGATCTCCCACTGTCTTTACCGGAGTGTCAATAGCAGCTGAATTTAGGAACATATAGGAAGTATCAACAAATGTCTGATGAATGACTGAATTAATGATAGAGGTGGTAAAGCCCTGACTTCCTAGGGAAGAAAGGGATAGAGACTCTGTTTGCTCAATCAGCAAAGACCTTTTCCATTCACCCATGACTACTACCAACCTCAGTGACACTCAGTGTTAAGCCAGAATTTCATGAAGGACAATTGTATTCTCTGTTCAGTGGGGAGGAGGTCATCATAACAGGCCAGGGTTTGTTTTTAAAGATTGGCTTCACTTTTAATTGTGTGTATAGGTGTGTGTCGGGGGTGGGGGGGGACATGCACACAGCTAAGGTGTCTAGTAGATGGAGCTGTGTGCATAGGTATGTGTCAGGGGTGGTGGTGCACACAGCTAAGGTGTCTAGTAGATGGAGCTGGGGAACAGGCAGTTATGCCCTGCCTGGCTTGGGTGCAGAGAACTCAACTTGAGTCCTCCGGAAGAGCACTGAGTGATCTTAACCACTGAGCATCTCCCCAGCCCCTAGTTTTAAAGTTTTATCTCAACTCTTTGATGGGTGAATGAAGCCTGGGCATTCTGAAGCAAAAGCTCAGAGTCTTGTTCTGACTACAGCTCCTTCTGCAGATACACAGATGTCTCTTTCGTACAGAAGTCAAGCTTACACACATTCGTGTGCGCACACACACACACACACACACACACACTTATCCCTGCACATAATGACCTCGATTTTGTCTAATGGATGAAGACCCCAATAAGATCTACTGCATTAACATTTCCTTAAATTAAGGCTGGGAAAGATCTAGAACTGCACCAAAGGCTATGGATGAGAGCAGGATTGCAGGCAGATGATCCAGCCTGGGAGTCACTGTTCTCCAGGTTCTGCTGACCCAGGGGCCTCTTTCTGTCTGGACTGAACAAAAGGCAGGAGCCAGGGAGGGCATCCCCTAGGGATGTCAGGCCTTTAGAGGTCAGTCTGCCTTTGCAGGTTCAAGGACTTACAGGTTCCCATCTTTGGGTCTTCCCCTTGGTGACCACAGCTCTTAATAGGAGCACTTGTCATACACACTTTACACCAGGCCCAGATGAAACTGACAAGGAAATAAGGATGAGAGACACAGATGAGAACACCAGATGCAGAGCCAATAGCCACAACCACAGGACCCAGAGGCTGTGTCAGGGAGGCTCAGACCACTGGGGAAGAGGGAAGAGAGGAAGGAGGGAAGCCCCAGTGTCGGAGCCCCAAGCCCTGCCCCAGCATCCCCACCTGACGGCAGCCTGGTTCTGCGCTCCCCAGATTCCATCCTAGACAGATACTGTCTAGGTTCACCGTGTCCTTACTGGCTCCTTCTGCTGGGTCTCAAGGCGGGAATCCATGCCTCTAGTCAGCTCAGCCCTTTGCAGGTCCCTGGACTCTGTACTGTGCTCAGACCCCTCTAAGCTTGGAGGCGTTCAGCCAATCTCTGGAATTGCCACTTTGGGGACTTCCTCCCTTAGGTCTGCATTCCTGCTGAGCGGAGGCAGCATGCGCCTGCGGAGACACTTAGTGGATCCAGCTGTGCACTGGAGCAACAATTCCTGCTAGCTAACCCTCTGGCCACTCGGCGGCAGCCTTTCCCCTCCTCAGGGAGAAAACTGCTCCCCAATCTGCCCTAACTCCTTTGCTCTCTCAGTCTCGCTGGGAGGTCTAACTCTCTAATGAGCCCCCGGGTGAGGATCCATCCACCAGGCGACCTGCCTCCTGCTAGGGTCACGAGCTGGGGGAGTCCCTCTTGGGCTGTAGACCCTTAGCAAGCCCCCAGTTCTGCAAAGTAGCTGGAGGATGGATGGCCCTAACGGGGCTTGTCTTCCAAGCACAGCCAGAGTGCTCCACGAAGGATGCCTTGCTCTGCAATGGGATGCATAAGACCCCAGGAGGAAGCCCCAGCAAAGCCAGCAGAAGCTTCTGCCCACGTGCTCAGCAGGAGTCCTGACGTAGCTGAGGCAGGTCACAGTACTGGAACATAGGCTCTAAGACCCTCAAGCAGTTCAGAGGGGCTGGGCTAGGATGTCCGTGTCATGACTGCTGTCCCTAAGGCAAATGTCACTTGCTACCACTAGCCCCATGAGCCTGGCTGACTACACACACACACACACACACACACACACACACACACACACACACACACACACACCATGCCCTAGCACTGTCCCTGATGAGTTGGGTATAGAGGTTGAGCATAGCCTCTGCTGCTGCCTTCTAGATGGATTTGCTGAGACCCTGGAGCATTCCAGAGAAGTGGTCCACGCAGCCTCCACGGGTGGTTGGGTGGCACCCTGCACATACGTGCTCTCTTTCAGAGGGACTTACATCAAGACACTCAGTGGTCTCTCCCACCCCAGGTGGGCCTGATGCTCCGCCCTCACCAAAGCAACTTCAGATAAATTTGATGAGGCATGAACACAGCAGTGTCTCTCTGCAGCCCTCAAGCCTTGGGGGGGCTGCTCTGCAGCTGCCTTCCAATACTGCAAGAGTAAATGGCTCTAAAGCTAGGGCTGTAGGCAACTGGGTGGTAGAGCACTCACTTAGCGTGCTTAAAGTCCCATATCTCATTGCCAGCACTGAAGTAGGGGGCAAGAGTAAATGGCCCTACCAAGTGGTTTAGCCTCTCCTGGAGCAGAAGAGGACGGGACTGCCTCGGAAGAGCCAAGAAGAATGAGCCCAGGGCACAGTTTGCACTTGCCCATCTCTGTTGGAATCTGACCAGCTAAAAGCCCATCCCTGGTATCCAAGCCTCTTTGTCCTGTCCACCTGTTGGGTCCACCCTCACTGGGGGCTAAAATTCCCTGCCACCTTATTTGGGAAGAACCAGGGTGTGTGATTCTAAGTTGTGGGCTGGCCACCATGTGTCATTCTATAAGAATCTGAGCTAAAAATAGGGTGGCCGCCCTAAGTGTTTGTCAACTGATGCCTGGCCACATTCATCTTGGTACTTAAAGGGTGGGCGTTGGGTCCTAACTTTAGAGCTCATGAATTCCGACATCCCCAGCTAGAGGAAATGGGTCTCAAATGTTAGGACCAGCATCCACCCTGTCTGTCATTAAAGGGTCTACACACAAACAAGGGCCCGACATCAAGCCAACCCAAGGTGCCCTGAAGAGATCATGAGCTGCCAAAGAGTGACCAAGGAGACTTGAATAAATGTCTGCCACCACCCTTGATCCCTTGTCTGCTAGGAACACCTTGATGTTCCTCTAGGGAGCTCCTTAGGGGATTCTTGTTGGGGAAGGGCTGGCTCTAGGATGGCCTTGTGAAGCATACTGGTCACTCACTGACTTAGGGAATGGTCCTGACACATCGTGGTTGAAAATCTGGCTGCAAGTGAGGCAGGAATGGAGAATGCTGGCTGAAATGCGGAACTATTTAGGATAGCAGCAGATAAACCCCATGAGAGCATTCGAGCAGAGCAGGCCCTTACACCCCCTGGGCCTTTACAGATGCTGCAGCCTTGGTACAATGCTTTCCCCTGTCCTGCTATT